TGACTGGACTGGAGACACTGCTGTCCCTCTCCTCTCACACTGACACACTCCTGACTGGACAGGAGACACTGCCACAGCCCTCTCTTAAAGTGCTCAGCCTCTGAGCAGCCGACTTGCTCACACCAGAGTACTGGATTGTGACTGTGGTTGCTCAGAGCCAGGCGTCCCTGCCTCTTCGTTGTGTACCCTGCAGAAGTACCCCGGCGCTTATCTGATTCCCCAGAAGGACTTCGACCGGACGTGCATCAGCACAGTGCAGGTGCTGGAGAAGGAGAAGGAGCAGCCCCTCTGCAGCACAAAGTGAGTTCCCCACCTGAGGCAGGGCCACCTGCTCTTCAGAGCCCATGGGGCTGACTGGAGCACCCGGGCCCCCTGTGTCGCCCAGTCGGGCTTCGGATCAGCAGGCCAGAGCCGACCTGAGCCCTGCAGGGTCTCTCGAGTTCCGGATTTGCCGGGGCAGCCATGAATTCCCCTTTGGGTGCGATGAGCAGCCCCCTTTTCTTTCCTGAGGAAAGGGGCAAAACAGCTTCAGATGTGAAACAGCTGCGCCCCGCCTGTCGCTGTGCTGTCAGGCCGGTCCGTGAGGCGGCCCTCTGGGTGAACCCTCTTGCGGACTAGCAGGTGCTCGGTCCTGACCTTCCCCTCTGTCTCAGGAGCGCCGACGGCCCGCGGAAGGTGGACCGGACCCCAGAGCTCACGAAGAGCGGGCCTTACCAGCACGCCACCTGGGCGCAGGACTTCGGGACGAGCCCGATCCTCCAGCAGGGCCACGAAAGCCCCGCACTCAACTTCTGCGGCCCCTACATCCTGTGCCCTCAGTCGCCCTCTTCCTCCTCCTCTTCCTCCTCCTCCCCCTCGGACTACATGCCCTTCGACTCCCCCGCGGGCGCGCCGCCGTCTGGCAGCCTGCTGCCCGATGCGTCGCAGGGCTACGTGGAGGTGCCGGTGGCCTTCCAGAGCCCCCCGCGGGAAGAGAGCGAGGGGTACCCCCAGGTCCCCCCGGCCGGACCCCCCACTGGGGACCTCCCCATGGACCCGCCCCCCGCCTACAGCCCCTCCCCCTTCGCCCCGCCCCCGGCCGGGGGCTCCGCCCTGCTCCTCAAGCAGGTGGGCGACTACTGCTTCCTGCCCGATCCCAGTGGCAAGGACTGGGACACAGCCGACACCCCCGGGTGCCCCTCCACCCAGGAGGCTGGCCCCCCAGGCAAGGCGGCGCAGGGGAAGGCCCAGGCCCTGGCGCTGATCGGCGACAGCCCCTACGTGCGCTTGGCCCAGCCCGGCTGCCGCGAGCAGGACTGGGGGCCCCTGGAGCTGTGGGGGGCCCCGCCTGTCGAGACGGGGCCGAAGGGCCGCCGGATTCTTCCCGAACGAACCGGCAGAACTCCGGCGGGGGGGGGGGGCCCGGGAAGAGCCCCCCCTCCCTGCCCCACACTTCCGATGAGCTCGGGACCTCCGCTGCACTGAGCTGCTCATCCCATGGAAAACACCACCCCTCCACTCCTACGCCCGGAGAATCCATCGGGAAGCTCCGGGGAGAGCGCAGCATTAACGCCCCGCTGGGCCAGGCACCCTGGGACTGCGGAGCACCAGGGCGGGCAGACACACCGCCTGCTGCTCCTGCTCGTCAGCGAGCCAACTCCACGCGCACGACGCACCACACAGGGTGATCGCCCCAGCGCCTCGGGCGTGAAAACGAGGGGGCCTGCGTCTTTTATTTCCAGGGCTGGGGGGGGCGAGGGGGTGGTCGGTTCCGTTGCTGCACAATAAAAACAAGAATAATTCCTCGCACGTCTACGGCGCTTTTTTTTTTCCAGCAGCAAGCTTAGCTTTCCCAGGGGTCTCCAGGTCCTGGCCAGGCTCACACTGCTGGGCTCCTGCCTAGGCTAGGAAACGCAGACCGAGGGGGACAGAATGTTCTCACATGCTTTCAAGCACCCTGCTCCTGTGCCAGGATAGTGTGTGTCCCTCCCTGTACTGCCCAGGAGATCACGAACACTCTCTCTTCCCTCTTCCCACAGAATTTAATAATAATCAACCTTTTTTATATAGCGCCTTTAAAGGTGGCTTCTCAAAGCACTTTATGGGTTTACGTTATGACCACAACAATAAATAAGAAGACTACACAATGACAACACACAGAGGAGACATGGATGGTGGTACTGAGAAAAGCAGAGGGGTGAAGAATGGAACCAGATCAGTAAAGGCTTTTCTGAAGAAGAGGGTTTGGAGTCTGGATCTGAAGGAGTTTAGAGAAGGTGGCTCTCTGGTATCCTTGGGGACGGAGTTCCAGAGCTTGGGGGCAGAACAGGAGAAGGCCGTGTCGCCCCTAGAGTGTTGACGGGCTTGGGGGACAGTTAGGAGACCAGAGTTAGAAGAGCGAAGGTTGCCAATTGGGGACCAGGGCGATCATAGTTCAGACAGGTATTGAGGTGCCAAGCCATACAGAGGCTTATGGGTGAATTTGTGCCTCTGTGCACAAAACATCTCCCCTTGTCCTCCAGGTGGTGACGTCTGTGTGGATATTCCTGTTGAGCGCGACGAGACATTTCACAGCTCTTCATGTCCCCGGGGGGGGGGTCGATCCCACCTCAGACTGTCTGTCTGTGTGGAGTTTGCATGTTCTCCCGGGGGGCAGGGGGTGTGAATGTGGACAGCCACCGGATGGGAGATTCCGAGAGAGTCCGGCCTCTTTCTGCCT